CTCGTTATTTCGAACTTTATCTTTAACGGTTCCTATTTGTTCGAGTACCATATGAGTAGCAAATGGTCCTCAAAACTACTAACATTTCACCTTTGACCACCTATTTATTTTGTAATTTGTAACAAGTTAAATACATCTGTATGAACCAAACTCTTTGCATCCTTTAACCTATTTAAGGAGTGTTTGTCCAAAATCTATTTAGGTATTTAATTATTTAGGAAATTGAGGTGTTTCGTTAGATTCAATGAATATCTCTATTTGAAATATGTATTTGAAAGAAGAAAATGAAGTTGAAAGATGTTTTATAATGCTTGCCATTTTTCTATGATCTTTGTTCAATGATCTTTGGATCTTCTATCCCGGAATAACTTGGTCATGACAATTAGAATTCTTCCCGTAGTGAAAGCTTTTCCTTTTTTGTTGACATCATACCATTATCAATTTGTGAATGCTTGCATTTTATTGTATGACATGGCAATTTCTTTGTAGCATAACTTGTTGGTTTCTTAGGATATGATCTCGCATATTGGCTTTATAATAAAGATTTGAATATGCTTGAATTAATGTTGATGTTGATTCCAACTTAAAAGTAAGAAAAGTGCTTCGACCAAGAATTCTAATCTCTCATGTTCTTGGCATTCACACTAAGAATGCTCCCAAACTCATCTCCTTTAATGTCATAGGAATACAAAAAGATCTAAGATCTCCTAATATTACATGACATGACTTCATTAGTTAGCTAACTTCAACTTAAGGCGGGAAGAAATACTGACGAGTGAATTATGACTTCAACTTAACTCATCTCAATGAACATTAATTGCTTTTGACATTTTGAACGTTATGTTGTTTAGAAATTGAGAAAGGGGCTACTAGAAATTTAGAATGTATGGTAGTCTCCTACTCTCCTCTATATATCCCAATTGAATATATAAAGGAAGAATTGTCATGGTACATATATTGGCTTCCCCCATGTCTCTTGGCTCTGTATGGCTGCATTAGCATATTTTGTTGATAAATTCTAACTCTAGTAGAGAAATGCCCAAAAAGAGCTAGCCTAGCTTTATGGCAAAATGGGATAACGAGAAATGAATCATACTTTTGGGCATATCTAATAGGTAGTGGCTACTGGCCTTTGCCTTTAGACTTTTGGTTTCATAAATCATATTTATGCAATGCAATAATGCAAGTATTAAACTCTTTTTTTTTTTTAAAGTGTATGGTCCTTTCAAAAATCAAAAGTATAGATAATTATAGATAAAAACAGAATTATCGAATACCGAAACCAAATTGAAAAACCAAATAATAATTCGGTTCGATTTCGGTTATTTTTTTAGAAAATTTGATTAACCGAAAACCAATCAAAAAATTTTAAAACCGAACGAACACCCCTACATGAAACCACCATTTGTTTTATTTTATTATTATTATTATTTTTTTTTTTAATTTGGCCTTCTCAGTAGGATGATCTGCATCCATTTTATAATTATTCTTGTCATATCTCTTTCACCAAACCTTGTAAATTAGAAGTAGTGCGTTACTACAACTACCAAAAATAACATTCTTGCACACATAACGTGGTTTTGAAAGTATATGGGATGTGGATTTTGTCTTTTATAAAGCATACCAAACCTATTTGTTTGTTTTTCCATCAATAGTAAGCTTTGTTTTGTTTCAGTAGTTAAACCGGGTTCTGTCACCTCATTTCCCCATATTCATTTCTTTTTTTCAATTCTCTTTTTGGGCCACAGGTTACCGATCTTATTTTGCACGCAATTCATCTATATTCTCTAGCTATACGAGGGTTATCTGTACCAACCAACTCTTCCTGATAAAACAATGTCAGCATTATAATATATATTAGGTTTTTCTTTTTTCCAATTTGAGAAAATCTCCCTCTTCATCCTTGATATTCACATATATTCATCTTTTGAGTAATTTTCTTGAAAAAGAAATTGTAAATAATAAATTTTGACCACGATAAAAAAAAAAAAAAAAAGGAACAAGATGTTTTTATGTTTAATTAATTACAAAATTTTCCTATTCATTGTTAATGTTATGTTTGGTATAACTTTTACGAATTAATGGTTTTTTTTTTTTAACTTTTGATTAAAAAAAGTTATAAATATGTTTGGTTAGAAATAATTTTTAAATTAAATTAAAAACTTGTTATAAAATTGAGTCAAATCTTGCTTATAATAAAAAATTGAAATTTTTAATTTTTACTTCAAGTCATTTTAATTCATTTTTGTTATAAGATATTTATAAAAAACAATTTTTGGATCACGACTCGAAGTTCATAATTCAAAAGTCATGTCAAAAGAATCCAACCTTATGTTTCGTATTACTTTTACAAATTGATTTAGGTTGTTTTTTAATTTTTGATTCGAAGAAAAATCATAAGTATATTTTCTCATAAATAAATTTAAATTAAATTAAAAGTTTGTAAGAAAATTGAATCAAAATTTTGATTCAATCAAAAGTTGAAAATTTTAATTTATACTACAATTTTTCTTCAAAAAAAAATGTTTCGAACCATTTTTACTAAATGTATTTCTAATTTAAAGCATTTCAACTTATTTTTACCTTGAATTACTTATAGTTTGAAACATGCTCATTGAAATTATAGCTTAGTAATTCAAAAGTCACTAGCTAGCTGTTATCGCACTTGCACTGCTGTATACGGTTAGAAATTCGAAATTCAAACCAAACAAGTGGAAATTCCATACATTGTTTTGATTAATAGGGAAAATAAAGAAAAAAGAAGTGGTGTGGAATTAATTAGATACATTTATGATGAGCACCAAAAGTGCTAATACACTGCAAGACTCCTGTGACTGCATTTAAGGGTGTCATTATTTTGGTAGCTTCGCAAATATCATGCCACCTACTGATCCACCAATCACTTTAGGTGGATGTCTAAATTTTGAAATAACTCCTCATATATAGGTTTGAGAGAAAATGTAAGACAATAGTTGTTGGTAATTTGGAATTTAATGCATTTAATTACATTAGCTTATTATTTTTGGATAATAAGACAATAAAATGTGTGATCAATACATGTTTTTGCTCATTGAAAAAATCCAAGTTAAACCACACAATAATTAGATAATGTGCATCAGCTGATGGTATCGAACACTATAATTGTGGATTTTTTTCCCTTAAAAAAAAAATACTCCCATAGTTCCACCATGCCATGTAACCTACACCAAAAATATTTTGTTCATGATCAGCCAACAAAATGTCCTGGGCTAAAACCAAATATTTGGGCGGCAACAGTACATCAATTTGTATTTATGGTATGGACGACACTAGTAATTAAAGTTTTGTAGTCAACTTGGCGATAAATGTTAGCAGAAACTTTCAAAATTCAAATGTTTGAGGCACCTTGGAACGTACCTGTAACAACTAAAATTTAAAATTTAATGACTTCTAATTGTTATTTATATATATATATATATATTTACAAGTAATAGAATATTCTGATATTAGATTTTGTATCAATTGAAACTAAATTCATCAATTTCTTATTTAAGCTAGCATTAAAATATGCTTAATTTTTAACCGATTAGTAGATTTTTTTAAAAAAAATAATAATTATAGTGAATTATGTGCAAGTACTGAGAATCGAATTTTAATTTTTATTAAATTAAAGTATCTATTTTACTGCTAGAACACGTCTTTTAACAGTAAATCCTTTCAGTGTTAGGCTTAGCAAATCAAACAAGGCACAAAATAGTACCAATTGAGTCAATTTAATTATGTCTAGTTGAAAATCAATCCTACAATAATTCAATCTTAAAAATAAAGTTGTACCGTTGCTCTTCACCTTTGACAAACATCTTCCTAAACAAAGGAAGTAACGGTGCTCGAATTTCCAAAGTCCAAACACGACATTAAATATAGTTAATAAAAGCAGAGTAAAAAAAAAAAAAACTGACGAGCATGACTGAAGACAGTTTCCTATCATGTTCTCAGAACAGTATCTCACTTTCCATTCTGTGATCTCATCTTCCAATCGTCTTCTTCTTCTGTAGCATTACGCGTACTACAAGAAAACCAAATTGCAACCCCACAATAATCTCTCAATGATTTGTTTGTCCCTTAAATCCCATTAAGGAGCACCGAAAAAAACCTTGACACTCTCTTTCTTTAGCAATGAAAGCGAATCTAAGTGAGCAGAGGACACTCATACACGCCACAAAGTCAATGCACCAACTGTTTTAGCTCTTTATTGTGGATCTGAGTCTTAATTTGTTTGCTTTGCAGCTTGAAGGTGAGAAGTATGAATTCACTGAAACTGTTTATGAGTCGTCCTGATCATTAATGTCGCCTTCCCTTCAGGAGCTTGTTTTGCATGCTTTATTCTCATCTGGGTTCTTGTATTTTCTCTTGTTTTGTAGTTTTTACTTGGCTTCTGAGTGGAAGACAAGGAAGAGATAATTGGGTTGAGGAATGCAGAGAAAGAACAGAAACAATGGACCAAGAATTTAGGTACTCGCTTGTTAAATTTGTTTCTCAGCTACCATTTTAACTTCCAGGTGTTTGTTTGTCATTGATGCTAATTATGCCTGCAATATAATAATGTCACTATTTGTTTTAAACCAAAAAAGCCTCAATTTTTAATGTTTAAGTCTACGAACTTGACCTTTCATTTCATGAATGATCATTTTCGTTGAGAAGTTTTTTTCAGAATCTATCAGAACTTAATCTTTTGGACTTATCTATTAGTTTATGTATGAACATTTCAAAAGGAGAATGATGTTTTTTTGTTTTCTTATAGTCATGCTAATTGTTTATTATGGCGGCAGCTGATTGTTTATTCTGCTTGCGTTTGAAGTGACACAAAGCCGACTCTCATTGCAGACAATCGTTGAAGAGTTTGGATAGAATATCCAAAACTATGTGAGTATTTATTTTGTTTATTAGCTAAAATTGTTATATTTGGTTTTTAGAGTACTAATAGAATCTGACTTTGTCAATGCAAAATTCTGTGATAGAACATGTACAGATCGTTTGTCACATGTGATGATCCGAAAGGAGTTATAGAATGTGGGACAATCAGAAAGTCCAAGAGTGGTTCCCAGAAAATGGATCATAAGATTGTAAGCCATAAAGCACTGAAGAACTCTAAAACAGATTTGGCATACAAGCCTGCGAAGGAGGAGCTGATCTCTAAAGGAATTATGGAAGAGCATCCTACTCCATCTTCATTTCAACTCCTGGAGGTCTCTAGAGGAGCTCAGAAGCTGAACCGTACGATTGATTCATGGTCTAAGGGGTTGAGCTACGATGGCCAGTCTAAAGATATTGCAACAGATTTGTTGGAAGGGGCTCTTGATCTGCAGGAGTCTCTCCTCATGCTTGGCAAGCTGCAAGAAGCCTCGCAGTATATGGCTCAGCTGAAAAGGCAAAAGGAGAAGCTAAAAAGAGGAAGAATTAATGAAGTCGGGGATCAAATGATGAATTCGCATCAATTTGGTGATCAACACTGCCAGAATGGATTTCAAAAGCCATGGCTTTCTGCTGATGGTTCTTCCAAGGATTGCATTGATGAGCTTAAGAACGCAATCACGGACAGCCTTGCTAGGCAGAATTTGCTTCCAAACAGAACAACCCGAGAGAAGACGTCCTATGAAAGGAGAACGAGGGACTCGGTCTCAGCTTCAGATGTCCCCTCCACAAGCTCAAGCCAATCATCAATGGCTCAGTCTAGCAGTAGTCATTCTACTCTCTCCATATCTGCAGCAGCTCCACCAAGGAAGGAAAAAGGTCCAAACTTGATTGCCAAGCTAATGGGTCTGGAAGACATGCCATCAAAACAACTGCAAAAATATCCTCATAAACATTGGGATGTTGAGACTGATTTAAGTCGGAAGAAGTCAAGGCCATCCTTTGACATTGAAATACCAAAGGTAAGGAAGCCTCAACTCTTAATAAACAAGGTAGGTTCAGAGCCAAGAACACTGAATGATATTCTTCAAACCATGCGATTTAAAGGACTCTTGAAAAGCCATTCAGTCAAAGAGCTCAAGTCCTGGTCCCATTACTGCAGAGAAACACATATCAACCAGAAGTCTATTGATGTTATTTCACCTATTGTGCTTATAAAACCTAGTGTGTCGTGCTTGAAATCAAAAGAGGTCCCTGCACCAATGGTTTGGGAAATGGGAGCCTTAAAAGCCAAAAGGATGCCGAGAAATGCGAAGTTAAAAGAATGGCTTGATCCTAGATCGGTAGACTACAGAGATGGGAGTTATAGCACCTGGAAAATGCAGGGTAAAACAGAAGTTGATGAGCCTAAGGACCGCAGAGAGGTAATTGTGAAACCAGAAGAAACAGAAATCAAAACAGTTGTCCAGGAAGAAGTTGCTGTTCGTGCGAACAAAAAGAGCAGAGAGCTGGAACCCGAAGAGACTCCAATAAAAAAAGTGAGCAAGGAACGAGTAGAGGACCACAAAGATGTAGTTCCAAGAGCAGAAGAGGAAAGGGTTGAGACAAAATTGAAGGGTTCATCTAAGTTGAAAGCTAGTTGTCCTGTAACTAACCAGCAACAGAAAAAAGAGACAACTGTTAAGAAAGTAAATAAGACTCTGAAGGTTGACACCAATAGCAGGAAGCGAATAGAGACAGAGGTTGTGAAGCCTAAAAATGTGTCAAGATCCCAAGATCAAGCCAAGCCGGCCTCTACAAAGACTAGAATTGAAAATGGATCAATGACTACAAAGACTCAAATTATTCAACAGAGCAATACTAACCAAAAATCCATCTTGAAACACACAACAAAAACCACAGTTAAGGGTCCTAAAGATCAGAAGAAGAAGCAAAAGCTAGTTGCTGAGCCTACAGCGGAAAAGCCAACTGTAAATCTTCTTACATTTCATCTTCATGATACTGAACGGTCTTTCTTTTCTGCACTCATACTTCTCTAAATGCATGTTTAGCTATTTATATGTTGAACTTCAAAAATAGAATCCAGATGCATGAAAAATAGAAGTTCAAAAATGAAGTTTGGCACACATATTAAGCGTTAAAAAAGACCAAGTAATGATTTGTGTTATAACGATATCTTTCATGCAGACTGAGAAATTAGGATGCAAAGAAGATGACAAGAAGATTGGCCACACATGTAATATCTGTTTCCAAAGTAACCAGCACAGACTTGCTGATCAACCATCTACAGACGAGAAAGCAAATGTCTCCAAAGTTCATAATGAAGGTAAAGTGGTAAACCCCGTTTCAGGATCCCGTTAAATATGAATACCCTTGTGAAATAAGTGCATTTACATGATTTTTTCACGCAACATATGTTCATGTTCATCTCAACTTTTGTTCAACGTAGACATGTTCATTGGACTGATGCTATCTCCAATGTCCACTAATGTCATGACTGAACATATATTGAGATTCTCTAAAATAAGGCTTAATTCTTCTTCTTCTTCTTCTTCTTTTTTTAACCAAAGAAGAAAAAGAAAAACGCAGGTATATAGTTGTTTGAACGAGCCTTGTGGTAATGTAGTAAAAGTATTATTTTAAAGAACCTGATGTCACTAGTAGGATGAAGTTCTTACCAATTCTCTTCACCATCCTAGAAATGGCCTCGAGAAAATTATTGTTCTCAACAAAAATATTTTAGTGGAACCAACATAAGAATTAACATCTAAAAGCTGTAATGTGTTCACATTAACTCGAAAACAAATGTTGACATGGCTATTATCCTATCCTACCTCTAAGATCAAGAAGAAAAATTGACAACTTCCTGTAAATATATAGTTATGTGATTTGATTTCGTGTTCAGCTAATTTGCCTTCCTTTTCTCCCTTCAGAACATTGCAGTGACAGCCAGAGCTCTCCTCATAATCAGACATTGGTGGCCCCTGAACATGAGAAGGATGCTAAATCTTCCGAAGAAGCCAACGACCACATGGGTCTCCTAGGACGGGATGGAAAAGGCTTCGAAAGTGGAACCCAATTGAATGCTTTGCTTTTGGGCAGTCCATTGTTTCTCACTCGTGCAGAGGAGCTTTTCGATATCAACATGAATAGCCCCAAGACCTTCTCAACATCTGGCATCTACAATTCTCGAATAGCCAACATGGAACTCTCTTTAGATTATGCAAATGAATACATCGAACTTAGAAGCCGTCTGGATTCACAAAAAAGGCATCCTCTGTTACGAACTTATACTGGAGATTCAAGACTTAATCTTTCTTTAGAGAAGTTGGTGGAGGAAGTTGTTAATGGGGCTGAGACTCTTACAAATTATAGCAAGCTTGGTTCTTACACCCTTCCAACCGATAGTCTGTATGGAATACTGGAAAGAGATATAAGAAGTGGATCAGGAGTGGTGAGTGGAACATGGGATTTGGGTTGGAGAAATGGATTTTCTGTGGATGAAGCTGAGCAAGCTGTGGATGACATAGAGAAGTTACTTGTGAGTGAGTTGATTGAGGAGATATTTACATAATTAGAGCTTTTAACCCTTTATGTTAAAGCAAAATTGTCTTGCTATACAGGTCTCAGAGGTAGGAGTTGTAAGTTGAATAAGCTAGATAGGGGCTTGCTGTTTCTGTGGCCATCTAATTGACATACAATTTAGGATTTTAGCTACTTGCTTACTTGGTGGTGTGGTAATCCAAAAAGATCTGAAGAAAGAAGGACCACATGTACATAGCTGAAAAGTCACGAAACCAAAGTTTTTATGATGATTAGTTAATAAATTGGGTACTCATCTCGAGAATCCTACACTTGAGGTTATATGGATGTGTGTTCTTAATTTCTGGTCAAGTGGGAAACTGTAAGAATCTAAAATTTAGTCACAAAATGTCTACAATCTGTTATTTCTGGTATAGTGGCAAATGACTAAATGGATGGATTAACATCCAATTCATCCATCCACTTTCACCTTTTCCATCCTCTCGCAGGATGTCAATAAAATTCAAGGTCCATCAACAAATTTAAATAAGGATTGATACGTAATATAATAGTTATTCTATCTTATTATTATTATTATTATTATTCGGCATTATATAAATGATTGCGAATATTATTTTACTATTATAATAAGTTATGGTTATAATCACCATCTTTGTAATTTAAAATTATAAATTCCATCCACATCAAGCCCTTAATCAAAATCTGAAGCCTAAATTTGAGTTTAAAAAGGTCAAGGGAGCTAACAGCGTCTTGTGGGAACTTGACTAGTTGCACAATGCAATGATTCTTGGTAACGACAGCGACTTAACATTCAAAAGCACCTTTATGCTATTGCTTGGCTGTAGAGTCCAAGATCTGCGGTTTCTCTGTTTGCAAAGAATAGATAAATTAAAAACCAAAAAAGTTAAAGAAAATATAAGCGTAATGGGTCAATTTTTGTTGTAACAGATGATAGTTGGATAAAACAAATAATTTGATTGGTGTGGTCAATCAAATTATTTCCTCCCGATTGCGTAGTCAATTTATCTATAAATCCACTTATTTATTTATTAAGTTTTCAAAAATAATTATTTGATTTTCAAAAAAGAAAAACACATAGTTAACATTATGCTTATATTGTAAGATTTTCTTCGTATTTTAGGTTGTTGTTTCCAATATATTTTTATATATTTAATTATGTCAATTATATTTATAATTGGTAATTTTGTAAGGCAAACCAATCTATTTGAGCTCAACTCGAGTTCTATTCAATAAAATACTCGTTCAAATTCGATTGCGAGAAAATCATATTAAAGTTGGGATGTTTTTAACTCTATGAACAAGAACAAACAATTCAACGCTTGGCTTCAAATATTCATGAACATAAAATATATTTTTAAATAATCATTGTATAAAAAATAAATTATTTAAATAATATTTATTATATTTTGGGTGGAAAGTAATTCAAATACACATAAAAAAAAAGTATATATCAAATGATTGTAACATGCAATTGCGGTCGATATATGGTATTGAGATAAAAGGATTTATTTTTAATTAAAAATCATTTTACTATATTCATGAACAAGCTTTAACTCAATTAAAAAAAAAACAATTAGCGAATCATTATACCAGTACTAGTTGGTAGTTAAATCTTCAATTGATCCTTAAATATTAATGAAAACTTTAGTAGATCATTATACCCTAGCGTGGCATTCAGATTAACAAAAATCATACATGTAAACAATATATAAGTTTACCAATAAGTCTTTGGTTAAGTGGCAGTTAACTTACAAGAAGTCATGAATTCAAAATTTAGTTTCTAGAGTATTTGAGATTAAATAAAAAAAATCATCATTAAAAAAAAAGATTACAATAGCTCCTCATTTTTGTAAATGTGGTCAATTCATTCTTTCGTGTTTATACGACTCTTCTCTTCCGTCTTGCTAACTAAAATAAAGCCTCATCATAAGAGGAGGCTATAGTAGCCTCTCATTTTTTATAGTGATGGCCAATTCAACTTATCGTGCTAATACAAATTCATTTCTCTACCCACTAACTACTAACACTAACCCTCTAACTATCAACCATTAATTGTGGAATGCATCGTTGTTGAGAAAAAGATGAATGCGGGTCTTGAACTCATCAAATAAATGCAAAAATTAAAGAGATGGTGCATGTTTTTGTTGAAGATGCATCCGGGTCTTGAACTCATCAAATGCATGCATGACAATGTAGGTGCGTAAATTGAAGAGATAGTTCTTTATTTTTTCTTTTTTTTTTTTTTTGTTGAAGATGAAGCATTCATTCATGCACCTTTCAATCTCTTTCAAGATTTCTCCTAATGTCTATAAATGAGATTAGTTATTCATTAGTTAGATTATATTTTTAAAGAGAGGGAGAGATAGAGAGAGAAGAGAGAGAATGTGTGTAATTGAGTTTGAGTGTTTTGAGCTACTATCATCTATATTCATATTCTCCCATATTAAATATTTTAATCCATCTTCACCTATCTATTTAGATACCTTGTCGAATCACGTTAAATTCTTGTGTCATTTTGTGTGCGCTATTTAATTTTTTTATTAAATTTTCTTCTTCTTTTTTCAACTTAAATCGCAATCTAATTTACTATTTACATATGAACTCGTACTTTTATATTCTATGTAAATAATGATTTTTGGTATTTCTTACAACAAATTGGTATCGAAGCTATTTTAACTTTTATTACGAGTTGGAGTTTCAAAAAAATGTCGACAAAATTCAAGATCAAAAAATTTGATGAAAAAATCAATATCGACTCGTGTCATGTCAAAATGCATGTTTTTCTACTCTAAAAAATCTTACAAAACACACTTCTAAGAAAAGAAAAATTGCTAGTTAGGAAAGGCATAACTAAAGGTGTTGAATCGGGAGTTGTTGCCATAATTCCTTCTATATCAACGTTCGACACTAATTTGGTAAAAACATATGAAAAAGCTCATGGTGTAGTTATTTTTAATTTTTCAAACAAGGTGTTAGGTAAAGTCATGAAGGAAGACACTATAGAAAAATTATAGTTGAAGCTCGAGAGTTCGTATATGACCAAGTTTTTCACCAATAGGTTGTATCCGAAATAGAGTTTTTACACTTTTCGAATGAAAGAAGGTACATCTATTAAAGAAAACATCAATGAATTTATTAGAGTATTTATAGATTTGAGAAATATTAATATCAATATTGAAGATGAAGACCAAATCCTTATTTTATTATATTCTTTACCTCCTTTTTATGAGTATTTCGTCACAACGATACTTTATGAAAAAGACACCATCAATATGAAAGATATTTTTTATATCAAAATTTGACATGGGCTTGATAGACCAATGAATTAAAAGAAAATAGAGCCATGGGTTTTTTCTTAAAAGTTGTCCTCTTAACCTCTTTGATTGGTTTCACCTAAACCTATTCTTTAGTTGGTCATTATAGAGCTCATATTTAGCTTAAGGCCTAACAACTAGTCAATCCATGATCCCAAAACCTAATTCAAATGAAATAGAGTAGGAGACCTTGCAAATGACAAAAGCAAACAACTTTTTTTTGTGCGAGATGTGTGGGACATCGATACTTAACAAGATTCAATCATGGGTAGATATATGAAAAGATAATCCTAATTAACAGAAAACCAATCAACAAGCAATTAATATAAGAGTGACATGAATTTAGCACCAATAAGCACACAATCTAGACAATTATAAGGAAAATGGGATATTACAACACAAAAATAGCTAAATAATGATGAAGAGCATATAATATTGCAATATAAGAATAAAAAACTATAGAAGAACATAGAGCATTGTAAGATCACATAATAAAATACGAAAGAACATGGTTCATCGTAGAAGATCAAGGTAGAACAAGAAGCCTATAAATATAAGTTGTAGTAGAAAAAAAAACACACACACATAACTCAACTCGTAAATTGCAAAAGTTCATATAGCACTTTTCGAGTTATAGCTGTAACAATAAGCTGTTGTGAAAGAAAAGGGTCTAGAATCAACTAGGGAAGAAGAGATAGTTGATGTCCATGTCCTTTTGACGACTAAGAAAAGGCAAAACCAATTGGAAGTTAGGTTTAAAGAGGCTTGTAAATTGATAAAGATTAAGTATTAGGCTCTAACTCAGTAGATTGAAGATAAACACAAACTCAAAATAGAATTGATAAAAAAATCATTATATGGAATTGGTGTTGGCTACTAGTAAAACTACACATACTTTAATAGAATTCAATGTTGAATAAAGAAAGAACACAATTATAGGGATAAGGCATGACTTAAAAAACTTTGTAAAAAATAAAAAGATAAACCCATATGGGTTTGAACCAAACTCTTATAGGTGTAAGCATTCGTTTAGTGTTTAGAATCAAAAGATAAACATAAGCTATGATTATAGATTTTAATCACATAAACTTTGAAAGTATCTATAAAATCTCTAAACAAATGGCATTGAAGATAGGAAACCAAATTGAGAAAAACTCTCTAACAAGGCTAGATATGGGTGGCTTTAGGAGAAGATATAACCCACTCTTTGAGCCTAGACACCCTACTCAACCTATACATAAACCCGTAGTGACGGGGAGCATTATTATTGAACCTTTTGTAGACTTGTATGAATCGAAAGACACTAAGAATCACAATTGTAAGCCTATAATCGAGAGAGTAAGGGGATTAAGTCACATACAAAGGTAGAGAACATCTATAAATTAATAAGGACCAGATTGCCATTGAACTACTTAGCCCTTGCAATCTGATCTTAACTATATCTTAGGGTTGTAGAGCAAGATTTTTGTCTAAAAAATCTAAGTCATTCACATGACTACTTATAGTAGGCCCTATCTTGATCATAGAGATAAAGAATACCCTTATCCTTTCACTTTTAGGTTTTCGGACTTCATTTTATTCAAGCAAAAAGGATCGAGTGATAGCTATCAAACACATTGTAAGGTTTATTTGCCAATGTAAAGAAGCTATAGAGTGTGACTTCTTAAAAATTAGGTTATTACCGGATTCCCTAATTAGGATTTTGGAGGACATTCTTATAGTACATCAATCTACTCCCTAACTTAATCCTTTGGAAAAATTATGCACGGGTAACACTAGCCAGCATTATAAGCCACAAAGGAGATTAGTTAGAACTACTTGCCACAAAGAAAAGTAGCCAACCCTCCTCTTCTTAAAAAAAAAAAAAAAGATTGGTATGTTTGGCTTTTTCTTTACTAAGAGGAAAAAAGTATCGTATAGAGATGATAGAATAAAGGGTCGAATTTATAAGATGATAATGGTCCATCTCTAATTTTTTAAAACGAGCTTGAAGATGATTAAAAAAATTGATTACTTGGTATGAGTAGCTAGCATTCTCTACATATCCAGCATTCAATGCTAGTCTATACATCAAACATTCAATGCTTGATTGCACGACCAATAACTATGTTGGTCCGTGTGGATAGTAGTAGAAGAAGATAACCATTAAAACAAGGTTGGTTAGTGCAGGCAATTATAGATAGGGTAGTGTCGGTCATCAATTGTTGGTTTGTGTCGACCATTCTTTCTTTCTAAAAAAAGTATTTATCTCATATTTTCTTATGTGTTGTGAAAGTTAAAGTCATCATGATTTTTTTCAAGAATCTTTAGGTAGAAAATTTTAGTTGTTCACTTTCTCTCTTTCAAGCCAATAATTTATGAACCAAAAATTTTATTTGAAAACTATGGTTTTCTTTTTTATGGATATTTGATGGCAAGCAATATTTTCATAATATGCTTAATTAATTCTTTTCAAATTTGAAAAGTCGGTTAGGAGTATAACCGAATTGCTTTATGCTTAATTATTTTCATATGGCGAACAAATGGCATCCGTTTGATAAACCACTCCCCAAGGCTCAAGACAGATGCTCCCAACCAGGATGACATGAATACCCCAACCAAAAAAATGAATGTTATGGAGGTTATAAATCCAAGACCTAACCAAGACCAACGTAATAAAGCAAGCCGGATGATCAGTAAGAATATGAATTGCTTTATGCTATGCATTTGTCCTCGGAGAGGAAGGGGCTTATGGTGCTAAATGTAAACATGCTTACCAAAGATATCAATTCCAAGTTGGGCATAGATTGGAGAGAAGAATCCATCCACAAAGTGAACAAACCACCATGTTATGTAGAAAGTGATTGCAATGGGAAACAGGATGACACCGCAAAACAACCCAAGTGTAAGCACCATCTATGACAAGTCGAGCACAATATTAAAAACAATAAAAAAATTAAATAATCACCCAACACATATCTTCTTGTTTGGAGGTATTGTTCAAGCACACTAAAATGAAAAACACGAAATAGATATGAAATATAACAAGTTATAATATTCCAAATCAATGAAGTTCTAGGTTCATCCGGACAACTGCAGTTCATGATATCTCGTTCTTCTATGCATTTGGCGGGGAAAATCCGTCCAATTCCACGAAGGAGGCCATTGGTTTCCTCACAACCCACAGGAGGAGTAGCTTAATATAAATGTGTATGACTTACTTAACAAATTATAACTTTTGATTCGAATATTTATTTGATGCAACCGCACCAATCTAAAAGGTCGGTTAGAGATCTATAACTTGATGGTGATTAGAGAACCGGTTAAAAACCATTTGAGGTTAAAATTTAATCTAAAGAGTCACTTTAGGCCTTTTGTGATTTGGACCTAATAGTGCAAAACAAGATTGTTGCGTTACTTATTTAACAAGAGGCTTTTGGCAAGCTTGCAAATAGTTATTATGCTTTTAAAGGTTCACAACAAGCCTATCTATAGTTTATTTATTTTCTATGGGTTGAAAGGTCTATGACAATCCTACTATGAACACTCTTATACATATAGCAATATCACTATATCGACGGTGTATAAGGTGAATACAAGTTCATATGTTCTACAACTCGCTTATGTCAAGTCATATTTTCTAGCTTTATTTTTTTCTACCTTGGCATATATGATTGCACAAACATCCTTATTGATAAGGTTATACGTGTATGATGTTAAATGTATATGCTCGATTTTTTCTAAAATTAATTAACTTAGCTAATTTTTTTTATTATTTTTTTAATTTATGATAATTTTCTTGGTTTTGACATTGGTCCAAGATATGCAACAAATGGATTAGACGAGAGGATGGAACTCGTTCAACACAAGGCTTTGGATGATGATGATGGGCATGGAAATTCTAGTAGGGCCAGCTTTATGCTTTGTCAATTGAAATGCATTAGAGAGATTGACTTGATAAGCTCGAAGCATGATCCACTAAAAAAAATCTAATTGCTATTTCTTTAGCATTTACTAACAAATTAAAACGAGTTTGATCTAAAAAAATCAATTTCTTCAAATCACATATGACCATTTAAACTTGGATGTCGTGGTATGATCCTAACAATCAAGGTTTTTTTTTTTTTTTTTTTTTAATCTCATAGCAATTCCAACTTCATGATATCTAGCAAAAACCTCTAAAGTCTCTTTCTTTTTCTCAAAACTCTTACACTCATACATTATACAATATTTAAAACTCATTCTTTTGAACTTTGACCATCAATTTACTTGTCACTCGACTTGCGTTTTGGTAGTATTGCTTGTTTTTCTTCGTATGTTTTTAACTCGCTTACATCTATTCTACTTGATTGATTGATCTGTTGCATTTATAAATTATAACACTAGCTTTTTATATCCCGATCGGTCCGTCAACTAGTCATTTAATTAATTCTTAAGAACTCCACATATATTAAAATAGATATAATATATATTTTATGGTAAAACTTGGAAAGAAAATTCATCAATTCTGGTCAACTCCCCCCACATATATTATTAAGATATACTTAATGTATATGTTATACTAAAAGTAGAAAGAAAATGGAGTTTCTTTAGCTTTCGAGTTTCAGCTCCAAATTCAAAAATTATTTACCAAATGCTACAAGGCATTTTGTTTTTTTTTTTGTTTTTTTCCCCCTCCACATGTATGCTTAGTTTTCCATAAATGAAAATGAGTAAATTATAAATTAGTTCCTTTAATTTCAAAAAATAAATAAATTAATCCTTCTTGTTTCAAAATTATTATTGAATTCTTTATTCAAGTATTGACAATATTTAATTTAATATTATTTTATTCTATAAAATATCTTTTTTCATCAATCTTTTCATAGTTTTTTTTTTTAATAATAAATTAAAAAAAACTAAGTTACAAATAAATTTAAAAACATAAAAAATAATTAATTAATTTTTAAAATAAAAGAGACAAAGTAATTCTTTTATCAAAACAAAAAGGAACTAATTTACAATTTACTCAATGAAAATCGGCTAGAGATACCGAGTAGGAAAAAAAAAAAAAAACTCTACCTCCTAAGATAACTTCAGCGTGTTAATTTCTATTTTAGCATTAAAATGTTCAAAAAGTCCATCCGTCAAATGGAAGAATTCGTCAAACAATTTGATGGATTGAGTCTTGTTGTGAGGGCAGTCTCCTGTGCCATTAGCTTCCAGGAGGAAGCAACCTTGACATTTCCGATAGGATCCCAATAATGTCAACATCCATTTTTGCACATCACTTTCAGCCCTCCTTATTGTCGTATTGTTCATAGAAAAAATAAAAAAAAATCAACAATTACAAATATTTTTAATTAAAAAAGTAAAAAAATTACATGCATATTCTTGCTGAGTTGTAAGCGAGGACTCACAAGCTGTCACACAACGATAGGTGACAGCTCACCAAAAGCACTTCCAAATAACCATAATAATAAAAGAACAGAAAACAAATAACCAACAAATAAAAACATTGATTAATCCGCCATGAGGGGGTAATCGATGGATAATTGTTTCTGTAAATAAATGATATAAAAAAGATACTCCTTCTACTATTATACCACTGATCCTGATTTTCCCTTTGATAGATAGATTGATTGATTTTGAATTTAAAAGACAAGACGACTCCCCTTTCCTCTAAAAATCCAAAGCTTATTAGACTTGAATCTCTACATACATACTCCGACTGTCTATCCATATTGATAAATCAGAAACTATAAGGGATGGGAGATGAGAAATCGGCGATCGTGATGGCGAGTAGAGATCGAGAGCTTCTCATACCCGTCGCTGACTCCCCCGATGTTGACGCTGCTTCCAAACCTTCTTCTTCTTCTTCTTCCTCATCATCGCATCACTCAGGACGCGAGGTTAAATTAAATTCCTCTTTCTCATTTTGCATATTTAGGGCTTTTGTCTTTTCTTTGAAAAAAAAATCACTTATTCAGTTCTGCTCTGTGGATTTAATTGTTGTTGTTATTATTATGGTTCTTCTTGTTAATGGAACTCCAATCCTTCTAAATATGGATTTAGTTTGAGCTTAATTATTCACTTAATTGCTGATTTGGTGCTTCATTTTCCAGCTAGATTTGATTTAATTGTTGAGGAATTAAGTTTTCAAGTTTTTCAGTTTTGGCCTGAATTTGATTCAAAATGTCATGATTAATATAAAACAGCTTTAATCTTGATTTGCTGATTATGATTAATTGAGAAGAGTAATATTATGCTTTTTAATTTTTCACTGTTGTATTTGCTTGAATTCCAAAAGGGTTATTTATTTATTTTCTGAAAAAAGAAAAAGTCATTGTGCAGGTAGTGGGTTACTATGGCATTGCAGCATTCCAAATTAAAGCTATCAGTTTTGCATATTTGAGGATTATTTCATGTGTCTGACTGCTTTCAAACGCCTTTTTTTTTTTTTTTTTACTTTTCGTCTGACATTTTCTCTACGTGTTGTGTGTGTAGACATTTTACAAATTTGTTAGGAGCTGGGCTTCCAAAAAATTCATGACAGGATGGTGCGCTACTCTTTCTTCCAACTTCTTTATTCCCTTGATTTAATGAATAAATGCTGCGTCACAATCACAGACAGACAGACAGACAGCACACACACACACACACACACATATTTTAAGCTCCAATTTGATTTATGGCTTGTATATGTATTCTGTTGACCATCCTTTTTGCATCTTTTCTTGTAAATTCCCATGTTTCTCCTTTTGTTTTTTTTTCAATGGCAAATGCTCTATCAATAAAGGACATTGTTGAATTTAATTTATGTTTCAACTCTCCTGGAGTCCTTGTTTGTTGTTGTATAGCAGCTTTTCTTTCATCTTGATAGGATATTCACTTTTTTTCTTTTCAAGATTTTTTCCTTTCTGAATATGTTTATTCGGACCACGGTTGCTACTTGCTTGAACAAATTTAAATAGCCAAAGAATTTTCTAGGAGTATCCAGCAATCTATGCAAAAACAAGTGTTGGGGCTTGTTTGAGTCATAAGGTGGTTTAGTAGGAGCTGTAATTCTTAGCTTGAGCATGTGAAGTTTTGGTGAGAGAAAGAATCTGTGTCTGTAAAAAGAGCCCAATGGTCCGTCTTTAATCGATTAACGAGGTGGTATTTATGGTGAGAGTGAGGCAGCTTCCAGCCTTCCACCCATAAGATGAGCTGGGGCTTGACTAGAATTCAGTGACAAATGGCATTGGCTTAGAAAAAGGAGCAAGAGGCTTATGTATCATGGGTGACATGTAGTTGAGATTTGAACCTCCCTAATTAAGCTCAGTAGTTGTAGGTCTTTTTTATTTTTGTGCATCTTTATCTATGCCGACGGTCATTTCTCCCAAGAAATCCCATTGACTCAGAACTAATGGTACGTCCCTCAATTAATCCTATATGCCACCTTTGGTAAAAATAATAAGTCATGATAGGCAGAGAAATACTTGGGAATAGTTTGCTTGTTTTTACATGTATTGACATTGTTTTGTGAAAATAAGAAGTGCAAGATAATGATGGGGTCTTGACCACACCCTTAGGAAGACCTTTATCTGTTTAAATGTGTATTTTTGTCTGATATTTGATGGATTACACTTCAAATTTTGCAACTATCGTAGGCATTTCATCTCTAACCCTGCTATCCAGAAAGGTCATGCCAATACTTCACTTGGCAGGAACCCTAATGACTGAGTTGGTTGGACTCATAGTGATTGCCTAAGATGTCTCTCTGTTACAGATTTTGTTTCTGATGATGGGATTTTGGACTCATATACATTCTTATACCTCATTCTAAAGAGAAAGCAAACGTGTGGCTGACTACTATACCAGTTGCTACCTTACATAAGCAACTTATGTGTGCTTTGTTCTATCATATGAGGGATCTGGTCCTCTTTGGCAGTTTTAGAGATAGCCTAGTCACTCCTGTTGATTTTCCTTTTTGAAAGAAGTCATGATGCAACTAAAGTTGGTAGTGATTTGATTTTATAACATATAATAAATTCTTGTTTTTCAGGCAGTGGCAAGTAGTTGCCAAGCACTTGAGATGTCATTGATCGTCAATGCTTGTGTGAAAGTAGAATTTTTGCAAGATAATTGTTGTTTAGTTTCATATTAAGCTGCTCCTTGTGTGGATTTTTAGGAAAGCAATGGCCTCTTTTATGTGATTGACATAGATTTTTCACATAGGTTTTTCATGCCAAATGTACAAAAGAACAGATTTCATGGACTGCAGTTGTAGCAGATGAACCTAGAACTTCATTGATTTGGAATATTATAACATATAGTCGCTCCTATTGATTTTTCCTTTTTGAAACAAGTCATGATGCAACTAAAATCTGTAGTGATTTGCTTTTAAAGTTTTGTTTTGATATCTATTTTGTATTGTTTTTCTGGCAGTGGCAAGTAGTTGCCAGTTACTTGAGATGTCACTTGCCATTAAAGATTGTGTGTAGTAGAAGTTTTGCAAGATAATTGTTGTTTTCCCCGTTTTGCTGGGCACACAAGGATTGTGCTTTTTACCTTGTAAATTGATTGAATGGCTGTTTACTTTCATATTAAGCTACTCCTCCTGTGGGTTGTGAGGAAACCAATGGCCTCCTTCGTGGAATTGGACAGATTTTCCCTGCCAAATGCATAGAAGAACAGATATCATGAACTGCAGTTGTCCCGGATGAACCTAGAACTTCATTGATTTGGAATATTATAACTTGTTATATTTCATATCTATTTCGTGTTTTTCATTTTAGTGTGCTTGAACAATACCTCCAAACAAGAAGATATGTGTTGGGTGATTATTTAATTTTTTTATTGTTTTTAATATTGTGCTCAGCCTGTCATAGATGGTGCTTACACTGGGTTGTTTTGCAGTGTCATCCTGTTTCCCATTGCAATCACTTTCTACATAACATGGTGGTTTGTTCACTTTGTGGATGGATTCTTCTCTCCAATCTATGCCCAACTTGGAATTGATATCTTTGGTAAGCATGTTTACATTTAGCACCATAAGCCCCTTCCTCTCTGAGGACAAATGCATAGCATAAAGCAATTCATATTCTTACTGATCATCTGGCTTGCTTTATTCTGTTGGTCTTGGTTAGGTCTTGGATTTATAACCTCCATAACATTCATTTTTTTGGTTGGGGTATTCATGTCATCCTGGTTGGGAGCATCTGTCTTGAGCCTTGGGGAGTGGTTTATCAAACGGATGCCATTTGTTCGCCATATTTATAGTGCCTCCAAGCAAATTAGTGCTGCCATATCACCAGGTCTGTGTTCAGCTTAATCCTAATGTTTTCATTGGATGGGTATAAGCTGCCGCCTTTAACATTTCATGATTCTTTTATGTTTTAGACCAAAACACTCAGGCTTTCAAGGAAGTGGCCATTATAAGGCATCCACGTATTGGTGAATATGCTTTTGGGTTCATTACTTCATCTGTCGTCCTCCAGGTCTGCAAGTGGTTTCTTCTATGTAATATTCATTATAGTATTGTTTGAATTGCATGTATTTTGTCTGTGGTTGGACCTATTAACTAGGAGTCAGATATTGATTTTGGATGCAAAAATATACAATTTTGGTTACAATGCTCCGATTCATGAATTAAGACATGGTGAAGACAAACTCCTTGCATGGAGAGTGATAGAGGTCCCTAACTTTGCTGAAAAACATTTGTGAATGCACGTCTTTAGTGCAACTTTAGGGTCTCAATTAACTCTACTTTGGAAGTTGTTAGTGATCTCCACAACAACAATATCTGACCGCTGTGAACTTCAGTGACATCAACATATACCTTCGTCATCATTGATGAGTGGTTGCTGTCTAACCCAAATTATTTTGGCATTTCTCAAAGATTTAAATTTTCTTCCTTCGTTATCCATGTGAGAAGACTTGGTGAATCCATTAAAGATTCCTGAACTTTGAATTTCTCAAATTTTGGGGGCTTGTCTACAACTATCCTAATTGATTGGTAGATGCTAGATTATTGCAATTTGGGATATTGAGGGCCTGATCTATAATTTGAAACCTATATATCATAGCTATCTCAGAAATTGAGGGTTTTACCCTTATTTAAAAGAGTTAATATTGTAGTACTGATAACATGATAAATGCTTAACATAGCATCAAATAGCATTGACATTTAAATCCTTACAGTTTTTAAGTTTTGAATGCAGAACTACTCTGGAGAAGAGGAGCTATGCTGTGTCTATGTTCCCACAAATCATCTATACATTGGTGATATATTCTTGGTCAATACCAAGGATGTTATCAGACCCAATCTTTCGGTCCGAGAAGGAATTGGTAAGGACTCAACTAGCTTGACTTTGATTTTATCAAATATTTTCTTTGAGCTAGGCATTCCTGTGGGGTAACAAGGCATCTTTCTTAAGCTGTGTTTTTTTCAGAAATCCAATATTGCTCATCATTGCATAGAACAGACATTTTAGGCTCAAGAGTTTATTTATTCTTAAGATATTGGGTCCTTGGTGAAAGTTGGGTGTATGACCTGTTTTTTTTTATCCTCCCTGCTAAAAAATGAGGGAAGCAAAAGATCTCTTTTCGCCCACCCTGTTCCATGATTTCTTAATCAAATTTATTTTTGCAATAATGTCTAATTTATTCTTTGATTGCAGAAATTGTTGTCTCTGGGGGGATGTCAATGCCCCAGATCCTGTCAACACTTGATTCACGTGTTGATAGAAATAGATCTGAAAGAAGGTGAGATTGAAGAAAATAGTTGTAGAGGATTATTTATTACTTCTATTGGTTTCAAATTGAGCCATCAGAATGGCCACTCAATCAGATTTGTGCTGATAGTGCTGGATTTGAGGTTAGATCAAAATTTTTTTATGATTTTGTTACATTCTGGTAGCTTGTATAACATCTGTTGTTTAGAATGTAGATTTAGTGTTTGCTTGGAATAGGCTGGTTTACAACGGCAGATAGGCTTGTTGGCTTTGGTTCTCTTTTTCCCTACGTATTAGAATGGTTTTAGCAAATCTGTGCTGAATATGTACTTCATAGACTTGTGGTTTATTTTTTATTTTTATTTTTTGAACTTTTGAAAGTTACCCTGTAGATAATAGGGCAATATTTGAGCTCCATGGTGTTTTAGCATGCATCCGTCAATGTGCAGCGTGAAGTTCTGTGTTCAAGATAATATTGAACGATGTCAAAGAACTAATGGTACGTCTTGTGGAATGCAATGCAACAAAAAGGACAAGGGTACCATATTCCTTTACTTGTATTGCATAATGTTCGATTATGCTCTACCACTGGTTAACATTAAGAAAAATGAGGGTTGATGACTTATGTTTGCCTTAATTTGTCTTAAGTACTCCTCTATTTCAGCAACTTCTATATTTCTTTTATTTTTATTTTTTTGGTGGCGTTAAACTGACATGGACCTAAACCATTGAGGTGATGACAAGAGTTATTTGTTATTCATTCTACACTAAATCTGAAGAGATTCATTGGATGTTACGAGGTCAAGAGACGGCCTGTTTGAGATGGAGATGTGAGCATGACGAGGGAAGTAAGAATAATCTGTGGTAAAAATGGCGATGATTGATTCCTCCTTTTCCAATTTTCTAGATTTCCGTATCTTGAATGCGAGTCTGGCGGATGGTAAAAGGGTCCTTTTTCCTGTTTCCATCAAATAATTTCTTGTATAAATTAACCTCAAACTTTTGGAAATTATCAACTAAGCAATTTCAACAATTTTTTAATTTTTTTATTCATATTTTTATGTAAATTATATTGATTTATTTATTTATTTATTTTAAGAAATGAAGTTATTTCGGAGAGAATTTAATGTTTTTTGTTAAGTGATTCTGATAGAAATCTTTAATTGAAAAATTAAAACAATTTATTATTAAAATTAATGTGAAAAATAGTTTGGTGGTATATGAAATTTTTATCTATCTATTTATTTATCGGGTTACATGTATAGGAGATTAATAAACTGCTTGACTCTCTCTCTCTCTCTCTATAATAAATAAAAAGTTCGAACTCAAGATCTTCTAGAGGAAGGAGAACATCAGCGTCAATTGAGCTGTAGTTCATTAGTTCAACCAACTTAAATTTTAATATGGGACCTTTCCATACATTTCTTTTAAGTCGTGTCATCATGCATCTATTTAAATGATGTTGGCATGCATCTCTTTAAGCTGTGTCATCACACTTTAAGCCATATTGGCATGTATTATCATCATACATCTATTTTAAATCATGTTGTCATGCATCTCTATTTTAAGTCATATTATCATGCATCTCTTTAAGTTGTGTCATCATGTATCCATTTTAAGCTATGTTGTCATGTATCTCTTTAAGCTACATCATTATGCATCTGTATGTTGCCATGCGTCTCTTTAAGTCATGTCAACATGCATCTCTATTTTAAGCTAAGTTGCTATACATCTTTTTAAGTCTTGTCATCATGCATTTCAATTTTAAGTCAAGTTGCCATGCATTTCTTTAAGTTGTCGTTATACATCCATTTTAAGCTATGTTTTCGTGCATCTCTTTAAGCCATGTCCTCATTCATCCATTTTGAGTCATTGCATCATGCATCTATTCAATATGTGTCATCATACATTCACTTTAAGTCATATTTTCATATATCTCCTTTAAGTCATGTCATCATGCATTTTTTTTTTTACAATGTTACATGTTTTTATGTTAACTTGTTTGATTGAGTAGTCGAGTTGTCATTCGAATTTGAGATTGTCTCTTTTACTTGATTCTTACATGTTTTTTATGTGTTTTATTTTCTTTTTGATTTTTTTTTACAAAGCTTTCTATATAAATCCAACGAAAAATATTTTTCGATGATTTTGCACGTAAAGCTTTGTAATGAGGGATAACTATTATCACCTAGTTTTAGATTTTTTTTTTATATACATTTTTTTCTAAAAAAAAACAATGAAAATGATGAAAAATACAAAAAGAAGAAAAACAAAAAAGTGGGAATTATGAGCTTAATTTTTTACTATCCTAACTCAATTTATTTAGGCCTAATCTCATTTTAGAATTGCCTAATCCAACTTGAGGACTAAGTCACTTCTAATAGAGGTTAGGACTAATCAATTTAAGGGGTATAAATACATGAAGAAAAAAATCAAAAGGGAGAGGGAGGAAAAATAGAAAATTAGTACAAAATAAAAAAATCCTATCAATAGACCTAGATCATTCGTTGGTTGACCCGTGGACCCACTACTTTCCTCTTTTGAAAATCACCATCCTTTAACCGGTATCACCTCTAACAACCACCCCTAACTAGTAGTCCATCCTCAAATCGGCCATTCTCGATTAGTTACAAAGGAGGAAGAAATCGAAAGAGGCTAGAAAGTGAAGAGCCACGACATCTCACCCGTTTGTCTCATTTGAGTTTTGGTGTTTTTTTAGCCAAATCAATAGTTGTCACACCAAAGCAACATCCATCATCCTCTTAGAAGCCTTTCCTCCCTAAAATCCTAGTGAAACTTCATTATAATTAGTCGAATCGAAGTAAAAACTATTCCATAACCCATTTTAAATATCCATTTTAATCAATCGATCTAGGTCAAATCGGACCTCCAAACCACTAGAAAAACATTCCTTATGGCTTTTCCGTGTCGATTGGTATCCTTTTTGCTCCTCGTTGTGCCCAAAATTGTGTTTAGAGAGAAAAAGGTAATCGTCGATCGACCGCCAATCTCCCTCCTTTGATCGTTGTGAGTGACATCATTTATACCGGATGAGAGAGAAAACTTGACCGCTCTTTCCACGACCAATGACATACCCGAAGGAGGCCAAACAATGATCGAAAGTATTTGTAATTGCTTCTAGGCTTTCATGGGGCATTTTTGTAATTCTACCAATCGACGGTGGCTTGCCATTTATGTGAGTAAAGTTGTTGGTGACTTCGTGTTCATGTCAATATAGGCTCTCAATCTTTAGAGACTTAAATAAGTTGGTATAGGTTTGTGGTTACTAAAGATTAGCCAAAATTCCATTCCCTATCCATATTTTTCCTTAAGAGTATGGACGTAGACTTTGACCAACTTAAACCCTAAATTAAATGATCAATTTACCTTAATAAAATAAATTCACTCAAATAGGTATAGAAACATAACATAGTAAAACTAGACCTTAATTTGCATATGAGTACAATGCGACTTACCTTAGGTAAGACGAGATGGTAGTGATGTAAATATTTTCCATATGTAATCGACCCCTAATCTAGATATCTATGCGAGCATTCGGTTTTAAGGTTTTCTAGTTCTTCCTAATAGCCAAGTAGAGACTCCTCAACGCTCCGCAAGCCCTCGTTGTTAAATATAATAAAATTGGTGTGTTTAATTATTATTTGCTTGCATAAAGTATTTTTGCATGTGTAGATCTATATAGTAAGCAAAAGGAGAATATATTTTTTGACGAGTTATCATTTATATATTTGTTTAATTCAAGCATGTTTGTTCAATAATATACGAAAAAGAGTAAACGTTTATTAAAAAAGATATTTAGATAAGCAATGAATTTCATGATCAACTAATGATAATTCTTCAATTGTAATAGTCGATGTGTATCCGACATAATTGATTAGTTTTGAGAAGAAGACAGATTGATTCATAAAAATTAGACAAAAATACTTTAGAGTAGTGTTAGGGGAATAACATAGAAAGTCAAGAATAATGCACTTTTAATGTATTAACGTATGAGACATATAAATCTCATGTCCTATATTCATAATTACCTATTGTAGGTATGAAAACTATTATATAACTATTCACACTTAAATTCGCAATCGGGCATAAGTGAGATTATTTGGAAAAGTCTTGTGCACGATCTAATAAAAACGAAAAAAGTAAGGGGGAAGCTAAATACCACCCCGGACCCTTTATGCCGTAACATAAAGTAAAATGTTGAAAGGAGAAAAATAGAAATAAAAATAAAAATAAAAAATACTATAATACGATTATGCGATAAACAAAAAAAAAAAAAATAGTAATCTAAATGAATTCAATGAAATATTGAGAGGAATGAAGCATAGAATAGATAAAAGATGGAGACAACTACTACTACAAAAACCCATATCTAAAACTCCTTAATGAACCAAGAAAAACACACATTCGTATCTTGTGGTGGAGGAACACTAGGTGATGGTTCCTGTTGACAATCTTGGTAGGAAATGCTTTGTTTTTAGCTAAGAAAAAGAAAAAAGAAAAGATGAAAGTAGAGAGAGAACCTGTATTATTGAATGAAATGAAAATTTCTTTCAATGGTAGATAAATGAAAGAGATAAGATGAGATATGTGACAGACAATAATTGATTATGAAAATTACTCTCTATAACTATAGATTGCATCTCTCTTTATCTATGATGAATGGAGGGTTAAGATTTCAAATTAAAAATGAAAGGTTGAGATAAGAAAAAAAAAAAACTCAAACTGACCACTAATTATATATATATATATATATATATATAATGTGAGAAACACCTATAAGTGTGAGTCCACGATAAATATAATGTCATAAATGCAATTACAAACAAATAAGAGGGCATGCAAATTATTCAACAGCAAATAATGAAAAAAGGTAAAAGACAGTAGAATAAAAAAAAAAAAAAAAGGGAGGGGGGACGAGAATAATAAAAACCCATTCAATGTCGTAAATGCAATTACAAACAAATAAGTGGGTAGACATCAATTATTCAATAGGAGAAGAGTAAAAAAAAAAAAAAAAAAAGGTAGACAAACTCTATGCATAGTAAAACCAACAATAAAATTTAGTCTCTATCCACACTGTCAACAAGTGCAGAGACAGTAGAAAGAAGAGTGGACATTACAATTTTTGGAGGTGCCATGGTCCCCTAATTAAATCAAAGCCTGTAGAGCAGTCGACAAAATCGATATTTGCTTTCTTTAAATTATGTTAATTTTTGTTGTTAGAATATTTAAAAAATAAATATTTTTAATGTGTTTTTTATACGAATAGTACAATTTTATCGAGTTTTACGCCAACAGTTTAAAGAGATTGCTTAATTCCTTGAAACAAAACATGACAATTTTCAAATATATTTTTTAAGTGCGATAAATATTTCATTAATAATAATTTATCAGCATAGAGTATGCAATTTAAAAATTAAAATTTTACTCATAAAATATTTAAAATAAACCAAATAAAAGAAAAATAAAACCAAAAAATAATGACGTGAACCTGTTTTGTAAGAAGATCCGCAGCAACGACATGGGCCCTAAACAACAAAACAATGACTTAGTTTTGTTTAGCTATCGGCCCTGTCGCAAAGGGCATTGCACCGAAAGGGAAAAATAGCCCAAAACTATTTGTCATTCTTTCTTTGGTTTTCCAAAACTGTAACGCCGCACAAAACCCTACTTCTCTCCCAGCCTCTCTTTATAAGTAGCCGCGAAGGCATCTTGTTTCTAATAGCCTGCTCTAGAGTTTGGTCCGCTGTACAATATGGTTTGTTTCTACTTGGCATAGCATTCGATATCTTTTCGTTTTGTTTGATCATTTAGGAATTCCTTTTGTCTGGTTTTCTCCGTTGAAAGTGTTTAATGGACAGTGACGATTTCATCGTGAAAGGTCTCGTTCGTCGTAATTGGCTTTCTAAGGCCTTGACGACAATCCTGATATATCACCACCCATATTCCGAGTCCTTTTTTATCATTTTTTTATCTTTTTCTTATTCTCTGCTATTTTCGTTTTGTTTATCCTCCTTTTTTTCATGGAAGTTGTTCGGCCAATGATTAAACAAAATTTAAAGACAAGCATATGTCTGAAATTACTTCGTGTAGATCAATCTAATCTTCTCTATGAGGCCGTTTTTTCCTTTCAAAATCTTCTATCTTTTTTACTTTATGCTGTGGTTTGGTTTTTTCAATTTGTCTTAGTTTTGTTGTAAACAGTTGCCATTGATGAAAGAAATGGTAAATTTGTCACACATGATAATACTGTGATTACAGACATACCACTACTGCCTTCCTTCTGAGGCTCTGTTTTTAAATAATTTTTTTAAAATTACCCCTTCATTTTTTAGTCTGTTTGTCTATTTAGATCTGTTATAAAATATTGAAGTAATTGGGTCATATGATGATCGTATGCATAGTTCAACTGATAATCTCTGTGATTATAACAAACTTTTAGTCTTTCGCTCCTATCTGATGACCCTTTTTGGTTGAAATTCTGTTGCTTTAGTATTGATTGTTTCTTTGTGTTTGGTTCATCAATCATTGAACACAGCTTTTATCTTGTTCTTCCCTGTGTTTTGCTTTTATGTTTTTCGAATTCTTTGCTCTGCATTTAATTTTTAGGCTTCTGGATGGTTTTGGGTTTTATAATGTTTAGATTGTTTTCTCATCTTTGTGTGCAGTCGAGTCTAATGTCTGTATTGAAGTCCTCAAGTAAATAAGGAGGGGCAGTGAAGATTTGTATCAATGGTCTCGTTCGTCGTAATGGCTTTTTTGCCTTGCCGACCATCCTGATATATCACCACCCATATTCTGAGTCCCATCCCAAAAATTACTTGTAATGTTTTTCGTTTCACTATTGTTTTTCCTTCTCATTTATACGTGTATTTAATTTGTAGAAACTCTTTTTTAGTAAATATGGACAACAAAAACTTTCTATGAAACATAAATTTTGCCTTTTCATTATGTGTTAACGATCTGGGAATGAAACTTTTGTAAATTTATAATATTCTTTAGTCTTTTTAAAAGCCCAAAAAACCGTTGGCTGCCGGACCTCCATTGCCACCTTAATGGTCTCTCTCTGCTTTGCCATCAAGTGCCGCATCCACCCTGGCCGCACCGATATTGATTGGGATGGTGAGAACCCAACAGTGAAAAATTCTATACTTCGTCAAAAATTTTTGGCTACCAATTTTGCTGTTAGGCGTCGACATTGCTACTTAGTTTAAAGGGCGGCATTTCGGTGATGCGCATCTACAATTGCAGTACTTGTTAGCTATACCGTTTGGGTTTATTAAAGATATCGCTGGTTTTGTTTCGCGTGGCTTCTACTTAGCCAATGCCTGTATTGAGCTGTTCGTTGTCTAGAGTATTGAATATTGATAAGCTCGTTCTTTGTTTGGGCTGTTTCTGGATTAAACCAATCTCCAAACAAAATGTTGCTGATCTTGAATCTGGTGAAAATGGCTTCTTTCTTACGGTTCTTGTCCAGATCTCATTTTGCGGAAGACAGACTGAATAATTTAGTAGTTGCTATTTTTCTGGCAAGCGCAAGAAAATGTTTGATAAAATGTCTCACAAAGAAACTTATTGTCCTATGATTCAATTCTTGATTTTCTACTCTCTGTTTGGAGAATTGAAATATAAAACGAAATAAGCATAAAAATAAATGTTAAGAAGCGCAAGAAAGCAAGAAAGAGACTATTAATGAATTAATTCAAGAGATCGAGGTGACAAGCATGCGCCAGGCATGTGCATCTAGTTTGTAATTTTACATGTAACTTCTCCGATACTTAATTTCAAATGTTCTAAAATTAAGAAACTTTTTAAGCGAAAAAAAGAAAAAATTGAAATTTGTTATGAAATAATGAATGTTTATCATATGTATCTATAAAAATATTTAATCAATTGTTTCAACAATTGAATTTTTTCTACACAAGTGTTTTACTCAAAAGATTTAAATTATTTAGATCATTAAAAAGTATGTATCTAATTTATTTATGTATTTTAAATTTATTGATACATAAAATATTATTTGAAAAGCTTTAATTTTATTATTATATTTATTATATTTTTTAATATTATTATTATATATTGCATTATAGAATTTTTATCATATCAAACCTTATAAACTTGACTTGATGATTTTTGATATTTTGAATAAGAATTATTGATTATGAGTGCTTGATTTTTTTAAAAATATTTGTTATTTTTTATGTCTTGGATATGGTCAAACATATCGAGAAAAAGAGTTAAGAAATATTTTGGATCAATTATATACTTGTTAGTGGCTAAATAAAATGAAAAAGAATAAATCTCATCTAATTGGATATACTCCATTCCCCGAAGTGAATGTGACAATTTCTAATAATTTTAGACATCGATGAAGATGTGGTCATAGCCATGGATATGATCGAAATAATTATCATTATAATCGTAATGACTATAATATTACATCTCACTAGCGATAGTGGATAACTATGAAAAAATATATAGATAAAGTCGGTATTCTGAAAAATAAATATTATAGATGTGGAATGAATAAATATTGATCATATACATGTCGTATACCAAAGCATCTCATTGAGGCTTGTCAAGCCTTATTGAAAAATAAAGAGTAAAATATGAATGCTACTTTTATATATCAAAGTAATAGTAATTGAAATTAATTACTTGTCATTTTTCTATTTATAAATAAAATATTTTATATTTCTTATAATTTATGTCGTATATTGATGGTTACAAATTTATTTTATTATTTATTTATTTGTTTGTGTTTATGAGGAATATATTGATTTATTTATTTTGTATTGATTTATTTATTTTGTATTGATTTATTTAATTATTTATTTTATGTTAATATTATATATGATAATATTAATATAATAGAAAGCTCTAGAAAAGCGACTATATTATTATCTAAAGCGATAGATTTTGAAGGCTCTAAAAGAGCGATTATATCATGATTTAAAGAGATAAAATTTTGAAGCTCTAGAAGAGTGAATAAATTATTACTTGAAAAGAAAATGTTTAAAGGCTTTAGAAGAGTCGATATATTATTACTTGAAATGACTAATTTAAAGGCTTCGAAAAGAAAATATGTTATTATATGAAAGGATAAATTTATTATGAATGATGTACTATTCTCTTCAAAGTCTTATAGAAATTTGTTGAGTTTCAAAAATATTCATCCGAATTGATATCATATCAAGATAACAAATGTGAATACTTATATGTTATAATCATTATATCGAGCGGAAAATATCCGTCAAAAAAAATTTATCCGTTTTCTCTTCTAGTCATTATTACAAACATTCAAAAGATTGAGATAAATATTTTAGTAAATCGAAGTTTACTAATTCAACTACTTTTACCATGTAACATAACCAGTTGTGTTATCTTGAGTCTTTCATGATGCAAAAAATTATTAAAAAATTTATATGAATATCTATTGAAGAGTCGAAGATTCTTCAAGTTAATGAACTTTCATGTTCTACATGTTGCCAAGGTAAATTGATGATTAAGCCATCATCAAATAAAATTGAGATTGAATCTTCGGTATTTTAGAATGTATTCAATGTGATATATGTGGATCAATTCATCTACCATGTGGACCATTTAAATATTTTATGATTTTGATAAATACATCCACAAGATGGTCACATATATGTTTATTATCTACTTGAAACTCGACGTTTTTGAGATTGCTAGCAAATAATTTGATTTCGAGCATAATTTTCAAATTATGCCATTAAAACAAGTCACCTTGATAATGCTTATGAATTTATTTCTTAAGTATTAAATTATTATTGATTGGCTATTAAAATAGAGATTGAACATCATGTTGCTCATGTTCATACTAAAAAAGATTTAGCAAAATCATTTATCAAAAGGCTCCTATTGATAGCTAAACCATTATTTAAAAATAAAACTCCATGTTTATGTTTGAGGACATGCAATCTTATATGCAACGAACCCTTATTTGCATATGACCTATAAGTTATTAGAAATTCTCTCATCTTCGATTGATTTATGGTCATGAGTCAAATATTTTTTATTTAAGAACTTTTTAGCATTGCAGTGTATATCATTATTGCTTCTTCATAAGGAAATAAAATGGGCACTTAAAGGAGATTAAGAATATATATTGGATTTGAATCTTTTTTTATAATTAAATATCTTAAATTATGAATAAGTGATATTTTTACGACTTGATTTATCGATTGTCATTTTGATGAAATAGTTTTTCAAACATTAGGAGAGAGAGAATAAACAAAATAAGCGAGTTTTAAATGTTAAAAAAATAGATTACATGGAGTACTCTATCTTTATATCAATTTGGTATAAAACAATGTGAACTAGAAGTTCACAAGATAATTCGTTTACAAGGTATTATAAACCAACTGCTAGATGTATTCTCATATCCTAAAAGAGTAAATAAAATGTATGTCTTCATTGAGAATGCTTATATTAGAATTGATGTCTTAGAAGGACAATCTATTAATATTATAGCTAACAAATTTAAAGCACACTTGAAGCTTGGAAGATCGATCGGTTCCAAAGATAAAAATCCCTAAAAGAAAAGGACAAGATGAAAATATAACGGATGAAAATATTCATAAAATGGTCCAAGATATTTCTAATAATAAGCTTCTAAAAGAAGTCCAAATGCTTGAGAAAAATCAAGAGATTTTGATAAATTATGTCAATACAGGGAGAAAATAGGATCGAAGAGAAATATTTATTGATAAGATTTTTATATGTAAAGTTACAATTGATATTTTGAATGAAAATGAGGATTCCGAGCCTAAATTATTGAAGAATGTTGACATAAAGATTATTGGCCTAAATGAAAAGAGCAATCCAAGTAGAATTATATTCTCATACAAAAGAGTAGTTTTTTGAACCCATAGCTGAAACACCCGAAGATGTTAAGCCGATGGGATACAAATAAGTATTTATGCAAACACGAGATAAGAAAAATGAGATTGTAAGGTACAAAGCAAAACTTTCAACACAAGAGTTTTTGCAAAGAACTAACATTGACTATAAGGAGACATATTCTCATATGATGGATGCAATTATATTTTATTATCTCATTAGCCTCGGTAAAATATATAAAAAACATTCATAATCATGTATTTAATGAATGTAATCATAATTTATTTGTTCATTTGAGATGAATCGGTATGGAAGTCCTAGAAGGACTTAACATGTCGAAGCATGTAATATATATTTTTGAGATAAGAATTCAATTAAATTATAGAGATCTCTGTTAGGATTATTTTAGTATTTGTTTTATTATTTTGGTTTTTAGAAATTCAATTTATATTTTTTATATTTTATTTTTATATCTACCGTTTATTATTAACCCATGTGCATGTGATATAATCACTTCAATGATTATTTGTTGAAAGAAAGTTATAAAAAATAACTCTATTTACTTATATGTTTTTATTTGAAAAGGAGTTTGTTATATATGTTGATAACTTAAATATTATTGAAACTCCCGAAGAGATTCCAAGTGTCATAAGTTACCTAAAAAGAGAATTTGATATGAATATCTTAGGAAAACAAAATCTTAACACGACCTGCAGTTTGAGCACTTAGAGAATGTGATTTTCATTCATCGGTCAATTTATATAGAAAAAGGTTGTACAATGATTCTATATAAAGATCATTCATTGACTAGCCTAATGGTAGTTCATTCACTTGATATCCAAAAAGATTCTTTTCGACTTCGAGAAAATAACAAAGAACTATTTGGTCCCGAAGTACCATATTTTAGTGCCATCGGTGCATTGATGTATTTTGTTAATAATACTCGACTCGATATAGTCTTTTCTATAAATTTGTTAGCAAGTCATAGTTCGTTTCAATATAGAGACATTGAAATAAAGTAAAATATATACTACGTTATCTTTGAGGAATAATTAATATGAGCTTATATTATTCTAATAAATCAAAGATAAGATTAATTGGTTATGCGAGATATAGATTATTTATCCGATCTACACAAAGCTCGATCACAATCGGTTATATATTTACATATGGAGATCCAACTATATCTTTGTGTTCTATAAAGCAAACTATAGATATAGTCGCCACATCTTCAAATCATGCATAAATATCAATTCACGAGGCAAGTCGAGAATGTGTTTGGCTA